ATAAGTACAGATCTAAAGGGAAGGACAGGGGAGGTGGCTCAGCGATTAAGAGTACATGCTGCTCTCTTGCAAAGCAGTTCAGTTCCTGGCACCCATATTGAGCGGCTCACACTTCCTGCTACTCCAGCGCTAGGGGATCTGGCTCCCTCTTCTGGCCTCCTTGGGAACTCACAACCACATGGTATACCCATGCATACACATAAATAAAACAAAAATAAATCTTTAAGTAAATAAACATACCGTGGTGCCTCGTGCCTAAATCCCAGACAGTCTGAGAGGCTGAGGCAGCCTCTGGCTTCAGTTGCTGCAAGCTGAAGGAAATCCTGGACTCCATAGTAGGATAGATACTGTCTCCAAAACAATGATATCAAGTTACAAAATAAAACAAACAAGGGGTGAAACTGTGGCTCAGAGGCTGTAGCTCAGCAGCAGTGACTTCTCCAGCATACAAGAGGCTCTGGGTTCAAGGCCAGGACTCAGAAAGAAAAGAATAGACACTAAGAATACATAATATTTATTTGATGCAATATAATGCAAAGCAAATATAGAATTGCCGACGATGGGCCTTAAGAAGGTTGCAAGGAAATGAACCAGGTCCTGGCTCAGGCCCCTGCCGGCCACACCAAGTCTCTGAAACCTGTTCGCTGTCATCAAGCAGAGGGTCAGGGAGTGTGTATACAGAGGTTTTTGAGCTTGTAAGGCAGAGCAAACCATGGGCTCAAATCTCATCTCTGTGATTTGTCAAATGCCATTGGCGTTTGCTGCTTGGCCCCGGAGGCCCTGCATCTATCGAAAGACACCACACCCAGCCTGTGCGAGATCCAAGTCTGCGTCCGCCATGCACATAAAATCAGTATGATAACCAACTCATTGAGGGATGTCCAATAACTCAACATGAATTCTAGGGCTAGGGAGATGGCTTGGTCTATAGAGTATCTGCCTTGCAAGTATAAGGACCTACATTCCATCCCCAGAATCTGCGTGAGCTAGGCAGGACATGGTGGCATGTTCCTGTAACCCCATGCTGCAGAAGTAGGGACACAACTAGTCAGTCTAACCTAAATGACAAGTTCCTGTCTCAACAAGAAGGTGGGTGGTACTTAGGGAAAGACATCCAAGGTGGTTGTTCACACACTTGCGTGCGCGCGCGCACACACACACACACACACACACACACACACACACACACCCACATGTATGAAATAAACCAGCTTGGGTTTTTAAAGGAGAAAGTCAGTTGGAATTGGGCACAAGCAATGTCCTTTCTCGAAGTTAAATTCTTTCTTGTCTTCAAATCTCTTCCAAGGTGACTCTTATTATCCCCAATTTATAGATAAGGAAATTGAGTGTTAGGTTCAGCCACAAAAGACATTATATTTTTGCTCCATCGTACAATTTCTGCTCTCTGGTGATGTCCGGGTTCACTGCAAAACAATCTTCCACCCGGTACTGAGCTGGACTTACAGGTTTCAGTTCAGATCTGTTTCCAAGTTACTATGGCCTCAGAATGTTCTAGAAGGCCTCCTCCGCTTATAGGACATTGTTCTAACTGTGTCATGCCCAGTTTGCAGCTGTTCTAGCTTATTTGGCATGCCCGGCTTGCAACTGATGATAGCTACAGACACAGCCCAACACGAAACTGTGAAGTTAGTTAAAACATTGTATTGCTTGCAGGCATGATTTAAAAAAAAAAAAAACCAACAACAACAACTAATAGCACAGTTGTCTAGCATGAACTTTATAGATGACAGCATTGTTCCAGGGTGTCAGAAGGCTGGACACGCCTGTCTGGATTCTCAGGCACCTCTTATCTCTCCCTTCCCAGGCTTTGAAGGATTCCGAGATCAAAGAGGAAGCGGCCCTGGTGGGATATGTTAGTCACCTTTCTCTTCTGTGTGACTGAATCCTCACAGGAAGTCATCTAAGGGAGAGCAGATTTATTTGGTCTCAGGGTTTAATACAGTCCCTCAGAGGGGCAGGGCTCCGGGTAGAGGCAGCTCATCACTGCAGACATGAGTACCTTGCTTAGGGAGGCCAGGATCAGGAAGACAGGAAGTGTGGCTGTGTCCACCCCCTGAGTGACTCACTCCCATCTCCGAAGGGTCCCCAGACAGCACCACCAGCAGGGGACCACGTGTTCACACACATCAGCGTGTAGGAGACACATCATAGCCACAACTTAACAGGGAAATAAAAGCCTGTCACCTGTTATTTTGTTTCCCGAGTATCCTTCAAAAAGAGAGGTTTTTATGAACACATTCCCCCTTGGGCCAGCATTTTCTGTGGCTGAAGGTTTCCGCAGACCTTCAGGATGGAGTGTGGCAGGACAGTTTTTGCATAGGCACAGGCCCAGAATACCTCAGCTGGTCCTCAACAAGCCACAAACACATTTGCAGGTTTTTTTTTTCCTGGTTCATCATTTGTTTAGCTAGGGTCTCATGTATCCCCGGGAATACAAAAAATTGAACTGCAAATGTGTAGCCAAGGATGACCTTGAACGACTGACCCTCCTGCCTCCACCTCCTGGGTGCTGAGTTTGCAGGTGTGCACCCCACCCTTTCTTAATGCAGCACTTATGATGGAGCCCAGGGCGTCAGCATGCTGGGCAAGCACTTCACCAACTGAGCCCCATCCTTTCCTTCTTAAACGCCATCGCCTTTGCCCTAAGAGCTGGCATTTTGTTCCTTCAGTGTGCCTACTCCCAGAAGAAGCCTATCTCCACACCAAACAAAACTTCCTCCTTCAGCTAAGAGCTTAAAACCCAGAGTTAATCAGGAATTGGAGAATCGAACCACAAAAACACTCCTAAATCACCCAGGGGAAGCACAAGCCTGGTGGATCCAGGAGGATTAACGATAACAAGACGAGACTTAGGGGATTCTGGGTAGAGGATCTCGGCAAATTGGAGCGGGAACCAGAGCCTTGGCTGGGGGCACAGGCTCACGGTGAATCTGGCTTGACAGTAATTTTCAGAGATCCTTCATAAACCCTTGGGCCCTTTCTCCCAGGGAAGGCTCTTTTTGGCTTTGAAAACATGGCCTGATTCCTACTGTGTTATTTCCACAGGGCCCAGGGGAGTCCCAACATGGCGGGAGACACCGGAGCATGACACTGGGCTTCCTGTTCTTGAGAGGCCCGACTGGTCTATTCCTCTTTCCAGTCTTCTATGTATTTGCTTCCTTTAAACGTTATTTATTTACTTATTTAATTTATTGTGTTAATGGTGTGGGGGAGGTTGCTCTTGCGGGTGTCAGAGGCCAACTTTCAGGAATCAGTTTTCACCCTTGTACCATGTGGGTCTCCAGGAGCAAACTCAGGTGGTCAGGCCAGATGGCAAGCTCCTTACCCATGGGCCATCTTGCTAGCCTGCTTTTTTTCTCCCTCCCCCCCTCCCTCCCTCCCTCCCTCCCTCCCTCCCTCCTTCTCTCTCTCCCTTCCTTCTTCTCTCTCTCCCTCCCTCTCTTTCTTACTTTTCAAAAAGTGCTTTATTTTTTTTTTGAGACAGAGTCTTACCATGTAGCCAACCCATGCCTCAAACTCACAATTCTCCTGACTGCCTTCATGTAACTAGCATTGTAATGCACCACCACCTCTGGTTTTGCCAGTCTTCTTGGTGCACACTCACACGTATGTGAGTGTGTGTTATGTGGATGTGCAAGAACATAGAGACCACCCGCCTGGCTGGTCTGGAACTCATCAAGTATGCTGGGCTGGATGGCCAGGGAGCCCCAGGACCTACCTGCCCCTCTCTCTTCAGCTCTGGGACCACAAGCATTTGCTACCATGGCCAGTTCTTTATGTGGTTGCTGAGGATTGAACTCAGGTCCTCTTGCTTGCACAGCAAACACTTTCCTAACCACGTCTTAGCCCAAGTCCCTAGTCTTCTTAGCAGTTAAATCTGAAAGACCATGTTTCCCAACAGCCCAAGCAAAAACCACAGACACTACACACGCATGCACACACGCATGCTCACACTTCCCTCTTTTGTCCCTGGCAATTTGACCTCCATCCAGGCCTATCAAATCTACCGAAAGTTGCCCAGCCCCTGGGAGAGCTTGTTAAGATGCGAACTCCCAGACTCCCTCCCTGTGACCTGATTTAGCGACTCCACAATGAACAGGACAGCGCCTTTTGTATCAACCTCCCACCATGTCCTGTTTAGCTATGAGGTGTCTTCTTGATGCTCCTATGTTGAAGACTTGGTCCCCAAGTGGTGGCACTATTGAGAGGTGACTGAGTCTCCAAAAGCACACCAGGGAGCCAGCTTGGTTTGGTAAAATGTTTGCCTTGCAGGCAGGAGAACCTGATTTTCACATAGATGTGGTAGCGTGTGCTTATAATCCCAGGACTGAGGAGGTAGACAGGTGGATTGCTGGGGCTCGCTACACAGCCAGCCTAGGCTACTAGGCAAATTCCCAGCTGGTCAGAGTGTATCAACAAACAAGATGGACTGTCCTCTTGGGCAGCCATGTGACAAGTACAAACAAGACACACACACATACCATATGCCGGAAGCTTCCAGACCTCATTCTATCAGTGCTGGTTACAGAAAGGGGGTGATAATGGCTGCATGGTGTCTTTCAGGAAACTCATTCTAGAATGTTACAGAAATTGTTGTCTCTGAGACTCACTGTAGGTCTATTATATCCAGATATCTAAACCTTTCTCTAAACATCTCACGGACCACAGTTCTGGTAAGGATGGTTTACCATCTTATATTTTTTGCCAGAAGTTTCTGCTCAGCAGTTGCTAAGAGCCCCATAGTATCCATCCCCTAAGTTGGTTAGACCAGCCACAGTCTATGCTGTGTAGAAAACATACAGCTGTCTCAAGCTATCTCTCTGTTCTCTCTCCTCCCACCCCTTCCCCCAGTTCATTCCCAGAAGCAGAACCGGCAGACCTGCGTCCGCAAGAGCCTCATATGCGCCTTCGCCATGGCCTTCATCATAAGCGTCATGCTGATTGCAGCCAACCAGATCCTGCGGAGCGGCATGGAGTAGCAGCCTCCCACCAGCCACAACCGCGTTGCCAGCTCACTGCGCATGTGCATGCCCCGCGGGCAGACTCTGTTCCTCCACACCGGAGATCTGGACCTATGGATGGATGCAGTCGTTGGTACAGTTCAGTAAAGAACTCAAGTTTGCAGGGTAACCGGGATCACGGATCAACTCCATCTCCTTGGCAGGGACACTAAAGGGCTGTCTTCAAATGCTTTCATGGTTTTGTTTCCCAATGCAATAAATACCCGGGAGTTCTCAATTATTGCTTCAACCGCCAGTAGCAACTCCGAAGGGGGGAAAAAATACTGCTTTCTTCTCGCCTTGGAATTCCAGTAGCCATCCAAGTATCGCGGTGGCATCACAGAGCGAGAAAGAAAAGACAAGTACGAACAACACTCACCTCCATCCATGCCCCGATTCTTTCAACCCAGGGACCCAAAGAAACTCCCTGCTGAGGTTGACCTCTGGGTTGCGACAGGAAAGGGGACTTTCCATCTCACCCTGGCTTCCTTCCTCCACCCCCATGGAGACCCCTCCCCCCAAGGCACGAGGGGGAAAGCCATTAGGCAGGGCTCAAGCTCCTTGCAGCACTGCTGGTCTTATTGCCTTTTCTACAGGACTCCTGTCGGAAGAGCTGGGGCGCTCTCGGTTGGTTTCCTTGGCACTTGGCTTTCTGTTTCTGAAGTCCATCCCGCACCAGCATCTTGGAATCTGCAGAGAGCCTGGCTCCCAGCTTTTCTTGCCTGTGCCACCATTAGAGAAAAGAAAAAATAATTCATAGCCCGGGTGTGTCTGTAACCCGAAGCATAGACAGATAAGAGACTCCTCCGTGTTTGATGCTGTTCTTCCCTAACCGCTTACTTTGGACGGGAATTTGGCCTCTAAATCACACCCATCCCTGCTTCTTGGGAGCAAAGGGTGAAGCTACTGGGGGAGGGGAAGAATTGAGCCTGGTGGCAAGGAGGCCCACACCCCGGGCATCCAAAGTAACAGAGCCCCTCTGAGTCTCCATGCTAGACAACATCTGTAAGTTAAGACTGGTGTACACCTAAACCCTTCCCTCATCTCGGACTTTCTTAGTCTTTCCCCAGCTAAAAGAAAGAGACCTAGAGCCTGAAGCAGAAGAGCTGGAAAGATCACTTGGCTGTATGGGCTGGATTTTGCTTAATATCTCAAGATATTCAGATTGTGCCAGTGACTCGTTAAAAAAAGAGAGAGAGAGCACGCGCGCGTGGTGTTTAGTAGGCGTGGCTGATGTGTGGGAGACTTGACTCCTGATCACAGAGGACACTTCCATTGGGGTCTGTTTTCAGCAGCAGGCTGCGACTCATTTCTTTCAGTTTTCCTAGATTCACTATAAATTCAAGTGTGAGTGGTCAGATTGCCTGTCATCTATAGATGTGCTAGTTCCCTTTGTGTTTCCCTGAGCCCAAGTCTTTATCTCTGTAGTGAAATTGTCCTGCCCCCGCTTCTTTGGATCTCAGGCGGAAGCTTCCTGATTCTCCTTCCTCCTTCCTTACTCTTTCCTCCAGCCACATTGAGGCTCTCTCTCTCTCTCTCTCTCTCTCTCTCTCTCTCNCTCTCTCTCTCTCTCTCTCTCTCTCTCTCTCTCTCTCTCTCTCTCTCTCTCTCTCTCTCTCACCCCCTCCTACAGCCAGGTAGGGTTTTTCTGGTGCGATGCCTATTCCTCTAGCCTAGCTTCCCTCCCTTCTCCCTCTTTACTGCCGCCTTAGACTTGGATCATGCAAGTTCTCCTTCTAGGGTCTTCCTCTAGCTCACCTCTACAGCCCTCCACGCAGTAGTGTGGAGGGCGGCTGTCGATATTTTCCCACTGTAGGGTGTGAATATTCACTAAGAGCACAAGTCATACTAGGTTTGAGCCATAGCATAGGCAAGAGAGAGCAAGTCAGAGGTCCCAAGAGCCCGAAGGGGCACAGAGTCACTTCATAAAACTGCCTGGAGTCTGGCACATCCAGGCAGCAGCCTGCCTGCCTTTCTCACGGTGCCCTCTGCAAACCTGCCCTTTCCGTTTCTTCCCTAGGCTGAGTCACCATGGTCCCCATAGGACCAGACTCCTGCACTAGAACAGGAAGAGACACAGAATATTAATACACCGCACAACTTCCCACCCCCTAAGTTTCTTCCTTGAGCCATCGCCTTCTCTCTGCCGGGTGTGAGCGAGAAGGCAGGCATAGCTGGCAGTGGCAATGCTTCCCTATCGCTTGCTGATGGTTGAAACTCCAAACTGCATCCTCTCGGGAGCATGCTGGAGAAACCAGGCGAATGCATCTGGAAGTACAGGATTCTAAGATCCCGAAAGGGGGCGGAAGCCATGCTGCAGCTGAGATTAGCTACTGAGGGGGGACATACAGATGTCTTCAAATGTTGCTTTCTGCAACATCTGCCCCATACCGAAGGAGGCTGATCCCCAAAGATGAAGAGTTTAGATTCCTTTAGCAATGAATGGAGATGTAATAATATAAAGGGCACGAGCACCCATTCCCTTTAAAAACAAAAAGCAAAACCGAACCCTCCAGCATCTTTCCCAATTGCATGGAAGAAATGATAGGAAAACAGCCATCAGATTCTCTCCGATGGCTCAGAAGTTAGTCTCTCAGCATCCTCCTCGTCTGCGGCAACCAGCGACTGAATACAGCAGGGCAAGAAACCAGGTCTAGTGGCATTTCGTTGGCCTGCCTGCTAACTGCTTTGCTTGTATTATCTGTCTTTGACGTATTTAGGGTGTCGGGATTCTTTTCCAGGCAGCCCCACTCCCAGGTCTGTTCACACAAATGTTACCCCGAGGTTCATGACCCCCTAACATTCTCAGGACAGTAACTGGGAGGGAGGAGCTGGTTGGCTGATGGTTCCAGAAAGTTCTGTCTCCCATACTCTCTAAGGCACCCTCTGTAGGAGAGGCAGGAGCCTCAGCCTTTGCTGCCTTAGGAATCGGTGACAGAGGCTGCCCGGCCATGAGGTGACTCGGTGACTGGCTCATACTTGCTACCAGCTCAGCTCCACACCCCCAGGCATCTATGAATGTCAGACAATAGGACAGCATTTGACCTGGGACAGAAAGACAGGCTGCCTCTGAACCCTGTCATCTTCAAACAAGCTATCCCCCTCACTGTCCCTGGAGGTAGATCTAATCCCCAGTCAGGACTCCACCCTGGAACTGTTAACGATGGCTTCCAGAATGCTTGCAAGTTCCACATGACAACTATAAGAGATTGCCATGGAGACATTGCATCTAAGGTATAAACATAGGGAACATTTTCTTAAAAGACTGTATATCCTACCTGCCTGCACTCTGACTCCCAGAATCCATCTCCCGCAGAGATGGGGAATCAACCTCCGAAGAATATGCATGACTTCCCTACCTTTCCCTGTTGTATTTGAAAGAGTCCTTGCCCCAACTCAGGAGAAAAGGAGTAAGCCCTGCATGGGTAGCCTTCTCACCTCTACCCTTTATCTCACCTTGAAGAACAAGACTGTCTCCATATGGGACGGGTAAAACCACCCTACATCATCTGGCAGGCCAAAACATGTTAAGCTTGTAATCTTTAATAATAGCATTTGCTTGCTTGTTCACGCTCTCCCATCCTGTAAGCTAGAAATAAGAACTGAGGTGAACTGCTGTTCTCAGGAGTTCTTGGACAAGCTCAGCGATTGCAAGACGTTCTGGGTGACCTACATGCAGGGACCAGGACATCGACTAGGTGTCGGCCATACCTGCTCCTGTCTCAAAGTTTACATGACAGGTGATCTAGTATCTGAAAGGATGGAATCAAAAAGAAAGGAAGGAAGGAAGGAAGGAAGGAAGGAAGGAAGGAAGGAAGGAAGGAAGAAGGCAGAGAATGTTGAGGAGAGCATCCTTTCTAGCCCCAGCAACTAGTCCCAATCCCAGCCCTCATTGTCCCAGGTCAGTGGACTTTCAAAGGGATTGGAAAATCTAAGACCAGGGAGAGAGACAACTGGCTTTTATTGCAATCTCCTGCTATGGGCTCAAATCCAGACTCAGGTCATACATCAAAGAGTATTGTGTACATTGTTTTGAATCTAAGATAGTGTCCCTGGGACCCTATGAGGTCATCATGAGAAGATGAACAAGGTGATTGTTGGGTGTGCTTCCTGGGTTGGGTTGGCTTGGCTGTCTGGCTGCATGTCATATGTGGACTGTTTCCTCGTGTGCCCTTGATGACAGTGCTAAGTTTTGTACCTCAAACCATATTAGATCCTGTCCCTACACTATGTCACTAATGGTCCACAGCGACTTGATCTACCCTGTTACCTAAGATACCTAAGATAGAGAGTCTGGAACTTTCTCATGAAAAGGGTCCTTATTTTTATATAACGCTATGATAACGATAACCGGTGAGCTCCGATGAATCTTCTAGACTTTGGCACATACTGTTTATAATGATCTGGAAGACCACAGAACTCCATTCCCTGGGAAGCATCTGTCACAAACAACTTCAGATCAGCAATTTTCATTGGCCTCTTCCAGGATGCCCTGCAGGGCTGAGAGTCCAGAATTCACAGCCATTTTTCTTCCCTCCGCCTTGATTCCCCAGCTCCCCCTCCTCCACGAGGAGAAAAATCCATGTGCAGTAGACTAGCTATGCAGCCATTAGAGTTTTTCACTTGAATTATTTATAGTCAGGACAGAATAGAGGAGACGCTAGGCCACCCCATCCCCACGATCATGTAAATGTCACAATTGCTTAGCTTCATTCCATCCGCGCTTTGACTAACACTCAGGGGACTGTTCTCAGCTATGTGGCCTTTGCCACGCACAGTTGGTTTGAAGGAAGGGGACAGGTGGACCAGCTCACTAGGCCTTCTCCTTGGATCCTATGCTTCCTGCAAATGCATTACCGTCATGTTAATGCCAATGGTTTATATTTAATATTGGTTCTGTCTTAAAATACTACAAAGAGTGGTGGATTCAGGCAGACATGGGAGAACATGCTTGCAGGGCCTGGCAGTTGACAAACTGAGGTGGGAGGATTGAAGTTCAACATTTGCCTGGATTGTGGAGCAAGTTCAAGGCCAGTCTGAGCTAAATAGTTAAGCTCTAGGCAAGCCTGGAGTTCTGGGCTAGCATGAGCTACCACAACAAGACTCCTTTCCACTCGAAGGGGAAAGAAAAATCAATTTCACAAAGCAGCCCCCTGTATCTCAACATTACGTATCCAGCTCCTCCCTTGGGGAGCTTGTCAAGAGAAGACATCCCACGTTCTGGATATAGGGTCAACCTTTTTTCTTCAGGTGGATGTCTTGGCTTCCAAACCAGTCCTTCATATGTTTTCAGAAGTTATCCAAGCAAGGCTAATAGGGCATGCCTATAATTCTAGCGGTTGGGAGGTGCAGGAACTTGGAATAGGAGTTCAAGGACATCCTCTTCTACAGAACAAGTTGGACTGAGCTACGAGTACAAACACAGAGTGGGGGGAGGGGCGGGGAGAGGGAGGGGATATCTAGAAAGTAGGCAGGTACTAGAATTTTCCAGAAAGTATAGGCTAATTGGGAAAGAATATTTCAGAGAATGTAGGTTTCACCTGGATGTTTGCTCCATCCTTGAACCTGACAGAGAATGTTCTTTAAGGGCTGCTAGATTCTAGACCCTGTATATCTGGCCTACTTTGGGAATGTCCAAGGGATGCACCTCCCATCAGCATGTTCCCAAATCACAAGCTCTATGCCACCAATAGGAGGGTAGTACCTCCTCTGGGTGGATGCTGACTCCTGCCAGCCTCAGCAGGTCTTGCCCAAGGCTCTGAAACCTGTGAACAAAGGCCAGAAAACAGAATAGAAAAACCAAAGGGAGGGTACCAGAAATAGGATCCTTGCTGCTAGAAGCCAGGGGAAAGTCCATCTCCAGTAGAGAAGGTTGCGAAGTCCTGTGTGTTATATCGTTCAGGGTAGCTTGTTTTGTGGCATGAGTCCCAAGGGCAGCTGTGTGTTCCTGTCGGTGTCTACTATCTGTGAAGGAAACTGTGCCCTCTGGTTCCCAGCCAACATGTCGCATGTCACACAGGGGAGATGATGCATTTTTGTTTGTTGTCCAAAAGTTGGCTGAATCAAGATGAGCTTCTATGTCTTCTTGTCTTCCAGCCTGACAATGAAGGAGCTTTGGTTCCCTGGATAAAGATTATATGGAATCTGAATTTATGAGATTATAGGTTGAGATAAAATCCAGATTCCCAAAAGAAAAAATGATGTTACCAAAATCTCTCTGAGGATGTCTAATTGGAAACTCCCCAAATAAAGAGTGTGCACGCCCATGCTGTCTCCCCACCATTAGTTACCACCTTACTTTCCCCTGGCCACTGGACTTGGAAGCAGTTCAGGTGGATGTGGTCCTGCAGAGGGCAGAAAGCTACCATCTCTAATGACAAGTCTGGGATGCAGGACTGTTCTTTACATGGCCAAGACTGGGGTTGGACATAGATGCCTGCCACAGCAATGCTCCCAACCCTAGCAAGAGACCCAGGCAGGGGCGCAGCAGGTCGCAGGTACCCAAGTCTTTGTCCCTTCTTCTTCATGCCACCTCCGAGCCTGTGTGAGCCAGGCACAGTGGCGTAGACCTACAATCCCAAAACATGGGAGCAGAGGCAGACTGTAGCAAGTTCCAGAGTAGCCTGTGAGTTCCAGGTCAGCCTGGGCTAAAGCAGGAGGCCTTGTCTCCTAAACAAAACCATGGGAATAAGAAACTCCTGCTTCCTGCTCTTAGTTCTTGATCCCTGAAGCAGTCTGAGAGCCAGTCGATGTTCACAGGCGACCCCATTGCTCGTCCCTGAAAAGATCTGTTGAGAAAAGATTCACTCAGCTCCTGGTACAAGTTCACATAGATGGAAAACTCTGAGACCATTAGGGAGCTGCCCAGTGGCTCCTCAGGCCCTGGGTGTGTGTGTGTGTGTGTGTGTGTGTGTGTGTGTGTGATTTCTCTGACCCAAATTCTGAATTCAGAAAGAAGGTAATTGCCCAAGGACTGACCCAAGGTCATGTTCGTGGAAGCTGTTCAGACTCTGAAGGGCTGGTCCTGCCAGGTGTGGGAGAGCTTAGTCCACAGGTGGGGACAGGTCATTGACATAGTTAATTCTCAAAGCACAGATGTAAATGGCTGGGATTTGGACCCCTACATGCGGGGTGTCTCAGAAGCACAGGTAAAGACTGTTCTAAACAGGAGCTTCTTGCCTCTCCTTCCAGAATGTTCCAGTCAGATGTCAATCATGCATCTCGATTTCCCACCTTACCTCATCTACATTCTTTTGTTTCCTTCATGTAGTGTGAGTTTGGTGATTTTTCTGCTATTAAGTGGTGAGACAGCAGGTTAGTGAAATAAAATAATTATCTTTATATCAAATGTAAATATTAATATAAATGAACTCGGCATGCAACATAAGTGATCCAATGAAGCGATATTATTCACATGTTATCTTACTGTATAAAAGGAAAATGACTGCCATATATGTACCAGATGTTTTCTGTAACTAATCTTGTCTGTAAATATATAATCTTATTAAAAAAAGAGTCTAATTTACCATTATTTATGCAATAGAAAAAAATAAAAGTTCTTTTTTTTTTTCCTTTTGATGAGAGAATCGGTTCATTATTTACGATCTGGTTTGCAGTGTGTCTTGAGATGGGCTCCATAGGAGACAGTTCCACAGATCTGAGGAGCCGCAGGTGCAGAAGGTGGCCGAGCCTATTGAGCGGAGGGACTCTGACGCGGGATGATTGGCATCCAGAAAATAGACTGACAGTGACGGAGCATATGGTAGGAAATATGACTTGTCTCCTGGCTTCGGAGCAGACATGGTAATCAAGACAACCTTGGGCCTGGGGAGATGACTCAGGCAGTAAACCGCTTGTATAAACATGAGGACCTGAGCCATCCCCAGCACCTAAATCAGAAAGAGGGCTTAGCAGCCCATGCCTGTAACTTCCGCTCTGGGGGAGATGGAGGCAGGAGGTTACCTGGGGCTCCTGGGTCAGGTACTCTAGGTGAGTTGATGAGTTCCAGGATCAGTGAGGGATGTGTCTCAAGTAATAGGGCCAGGGAGAGAGAGAGATGGCTCAATGGGTTAAGGCATTTGTGGCCAAGCCTGCTGATCTGAGTTCAGTTTTTAGGACAGACATGTGGAAGGAGAGAGAAACTCCTATAAGTGTGTCCTCTAAGTACATACAAACCAGGGTGAGAGTGTAACACACACACACACACACACACACACACAATGCTAAACTCACTATGACAGACTACCCACAGGCAAGCTTTCCTGGAAAGGCAGGCAGGCCCAGTGACTACCAGGCAGGGGATCAACGTATGTGGAGATACAGAGGCGCAGCATGAAGGGACCACATGAATCCATGAGAGACACGGTGGGTGTCTGAGCTTACCCAGCGGAAATAGGGTGCACACAGGAAGACCGATTCAAAACAGGATGAGAGAGGACAGCTGGCCGGGCCTCGTGTTTGTGACTTTGATATCCCTGTCACCAAAACACCTGACCGGGACAACTCCAGGGAGAGGCTTTTGTTTTGGCTCTTGGTTTGAAAGGGCTCAGTCCTTGGTGGCCCAGCCCTGGATGTTGGAGTGGACATCAGCATGACAGCGGCGGGGTGTGAAGTCTGCGGAGCGTCTCTCGGCCTCGCAGCAGACCTGGAAGCTGGAGGAAAGGTCGGAAGCAGCGACTAGGGGGAACTGCAACCAACCAGAAAAATTGGAGTCTGTTTACTTCGTTTCTCCATTTACAGAACCGGCTGTGTGTAGCCCAGGCTGCCTTTGAACTCGCTATGTTGCCAAGGATGTCCTCTGGCCCCTGTCTCCCCAGTCCTGGATTTTGTAGGCATGTGTCATGGCCCCCAGCTTTATGCTTCTTTGTTTGTTTTGAGACAAGTTCTCGTGTAGCCCGGGCAGCTCTCAGAGTCTCTATGGAGCCTCAGAGGATCATCTATAGTTTATGATCTCCCGGGTGCCACCCCTCTGCTCGCTGCCCATAGTGCTATGATATAAGCATGTGACACCCAGCCTGGCGTCTAGAACCCTGCAATGGGATCTGGGGCTTCTTGGATGCCAGGTGAGCACCTTACCATGTCCTCAGTCTCAGAGTTCATGTTTCGAGTCTGTGTCCACTGTTCACATCTTCCTCCCTTCTCCCCCTTGCAGGGGCACGTGTAGATTCTTACCATAGATTGTCACCTTCTTCTTCACTAACAGAGAGTACAGGAAGGCACCAGGGATCCTTGGGAGCCTGCATGGGAGGGATCAAAGCAAAGTCATCCCCTAAGAATGAGGAAGCTACTTCCAGGAGGCACCTGACCTTGTGTGTCTTTTCAGGGAGGAACCTAAGGCTGTTAGTGTCCTCTCTGCGGCCACAGACTTACCGAGGTGAAGAAGACTCAGCGAGTCAGGCAGAGTCGGGAGCTGGGTAAGCCTCCCCGTAGGACAGGAGGGATTCTAAAGAGACAATGCCCTCCCTCTGGTTAGTGGACTGTTACAAAGGACCCCAGGGAATTGGCATTTCCCACAGGGAATCTCAATCTAGAGTAGGAAGAGGCTGATGCCTGGTGCCAGTTAGACCTGGGAGCTTGTCTCCCAGGTCGATATTACACACCGTTCTGAAAAATGGTCAGACCACCTTGCGGGAGACTGGAGTTGGAGCAAAGATGGGCTGGCGATGAGGGAGACTGCACTTGACCAAGAACTGCTTGTGTGTGTGTGTGTGTGTGTGTGTGTGTGTGTGTGTGCACATCTGTGTATACAGGCACGTCCATGCACGCATTTGGAGGTCAGAGAACAATGTCCAGTGTCCTCTCCTGTTCTCTACCTTATTCCCTTGAGACAGAGTCCCTCACTCAACCTGGAGTTCAGATGACAGCCAGCAAGCCCAGAGTACCTCCCATCTCTCCCCACACAGCCCTACAAGCAACAGGCACGGACGTGAGCATGCCAAGCTTTTGGTTCTTGGGTGCTGGGGTTTAGAACTCACAGCCGCGTGCTTATGTAGCGAACTCTCTTACCCATTAGGCGATCTACACCCAGCCCTCTAGCCCTCTCTTTAAATCTAAATCTCATGTCAGGGCCCTGAACTCGGTGGGGGTCACTGGACCTCTTTGTCCCTCTTTGGATAAATGTCTGTTCTTGCATTTCATTTGAACTAAGTGGCCAAACCCGGCTTGGTAGGGCTGCCCTGGTAACAGTCACGCCTTCACCCCAAAGGCCAAGGATATGCGTTGGAGAAGGAGGCTGGAGAACCACGGGCTTGGGCCAAATGAGGCTACACAATGAACACCAAGCTCCCCTGACCTACATAGCAAGGGCCTGTCTCAGTAAGCTCTAAGAACTGAGCCCAGACAAGACAGAGCTCAACTCTGTGAAGGACCTGGGGCTGCATAATCTTAAGTCCTCCAATTGCCTCATATAGCTATGCAGTGTGGCACCAGCCTCCTGCCGCGCCAGCCTGCACGGTACTAAGTGTGACCTTTCGTTCAGTCGCTGAACTGACTCATTGCCAAACCTGGGCTTTCCTACATGAGTTCCAGGAACTTCCAGGACTAAGATGAAGTTGATCTCATGTGGTTTGGCCCTCCCCCCCCCCCCTGTGAGTTTTCTCTGTGGTTTCTGGAAGGTCTCACAGCCCCAACTTGGGCAAGTTTGGTTGTTTTGACTTCCACAAACACCAAGGTCAGCTGGCTCACTTAAATCCAAGCCAATTGGCAAGAAAGTCTCAACTCAACCCACACAAAGCATTGATCTTGACCAAGAAATGAAAAGCCAAATAGTCTATCATTAGAGGAACTTTCTTCAGGCTTTGGAGAAGAAAGTTGGAGGATAAAACATAGCAGAATTTTCTACCCAGGTGTTTAAAAACACACACACGCACACAGCTAAAAACACACAACCCTGGGCCTGGAGAGATGGCTCAGAGGTTAAGAGCATTGCCTGCTCTTCCAAAGGTCCTGAGTTCAATTCCCGGCAACCACATGGTGGCTCACAACCATCTGTAATGAGATCTGGTGCCCTCTTCTGGTATGCAGATATACACACAGACAGAATATGGTATACATAATAAATAAATAAATAATTTTTTTTTTTAAAAAAAAGGGCTGGAGAGATAGCTCAGTGGTTAAGAGCATTGCCTGCTCTTCCAAAGGTCCTGAGTTCAATTCCCAGCAACCACATGGTCGCTCACAACCATCTGTAAAGAGGTCTGGCACCCTCTTCTGGCCTTCAGGCATACAGAAAGAATATTGTATATATAATAAATAAATAAATATTAAAAAAAAGAAAATGCTAAAACACACGCACACACACAACCCTGTGTGGGGGGAGGTGGTCCATGCCTTTAATTCCTGCACTCGGGAGGCAGAGGCAGGCAAATCTCAGTGAGTTTGAGGCCAGCCTGGTCTACAAAGTTTTAGGATAACCAGTTTCTCAGTTACAAAGAGAAACTCTGTCTTGAAAAACAAAACAAATAACAAACAAACAAAAGCACACAAACAAACCCCAGAAAGCAGAATAACAAAGCCCAGAAAGATGTCTCTAGCTGAATCAGTGTGGCCACAGTGCCCCCCCCCCCCGGGTGCTCCTTCTCTGGAGTGTGGGACCCTCAGCATGGTTCCGACAGAGCCTGGGAAGATTTTCTAAGTGTCCTCATGACAAATGCATGTTCACACATCCAATGACTCAAAAGTCCATTTGCAGTCACTTCTCAGTATAGGCACACTCAGGGTCATGCGATGTGGAGGAGAGGTTCTGGTTTACCAGGCAGGGTCCCTGAAGAAACCCTGGGTTCTATCCTCAGAACCACATAAAACTGGCATGGAGGTGCAAGCCTGTAACCCTAGCACATAGAGGGTGGAGGCAGGAAGATCTGAAGTTCGAGGTCAATGTCTACTACATATCAGGTTTGAGGTCAGTCTGGCCTACCTGAGACCCCGTCTCAGAAATGAAATGAAGGATAGCAAGATGGCTTCAGGGGCAGAGGGTCTTTTCACGCAAGTCTGGTGACCTGATTTTGGACTCTGGGAACCACATGACAGAAAGAGAGAATCAACTTCTGCAAGGGGATTGACTCCCTGGACCTCCTCACGTACACCACCGTGTTCAATCTGAAAATCTGATTCTCAGGTAGGAAGACCAAATCCACGACTGTCCAATTGACGCCGATTTATTTTTGGGTGCCTTGGGACTGGCCCACTCCCTGCCCTCCAAACGTGCCCTCCAAACGCCCTGCTCCTGGCATTCATCCCAGTTTGTGTTTCCACACAGGAGATGCATTGGACAGGGACTCACCAGTTTGCAGAGTTCCCAGCAGGGGAATTTGATGCCAGAGGTTCTGAACTCAGCAGTGCATCAGGGTCACCCAGGGACCTTTAAAAAAAAAGTTTGCAGCATTGCTCCACCACAGACCAATTACCTCTGCTCTGTAGGGATGGGGTGGGGGAAGTGTCTAGGTCTGGCACTGCTAACGTCTGAGCTGGGGGAAGGTTAGGACCCTGACTGTTTGAAACGCCAAGGCAAAAAGAAAGGACGGTAAAAAACCAATGGAGTTGGTTTTTTATTCTATGTTCAGATGGGGAAACTGAGGCCAGGGAATCTATGGAGGGACCACACTGCAGAGGTACTTTCTTTCTATCAGGACTGGATCTGGATGCCCTGGCTGTGTGGTACTGAGGGAGGAGATGCTAAAAAGACTTGGTGGGGGGGCACACATGGAAATGCCAACAGCTGGCATTAAAAAGAAGCTTCCAGATTCACCACTGCATCTTCATGATGCCACCATGAGGGGCTTCGCCAGGATTAAAGTTTTATTGTTGTTTGAAACAGGAGCTGCCTATGTAGCTCAGGCTGGCCTTGAACTCACTATTTTCTCGGCCTCAAGCCAGAATGCTGGGATGACAGGTGAGCACCACATCTAACTCAGGGTTAGATTGTCGGTGGAGGTGTCTTTTCTCTTGCTTCTGTTTTATTTGGTGGAGGTGGAGAGTCGAACTCGGTGCCTTGTTTATGTTTGGCAAGCCCCTTACTGCTGAGCCTCATCCTCAGTCTCACACAGCCTGGTGAAGGGGGAAAGGGACGAGGCGGGAGGGGCATGTAAGTTTCTCTGGCTAGACTCAATCTCAGGTTTCCAAGTATCTGAGGTGACTGGAGTGGATCTCTCTATTCCCTGCTTTCTACTCTGCTTTCTTCCCTTTTCATTTCTTCCTTCCTTTTCTTTCTTTCCCTTTACTCCTGAAATGGCCTTCATCCAAAACTCTCCCTCCTAGGTCTTCCAAGAGACTCAGAAAATCATAGTCCTGAAGTTAGAATTTTTGCAGATGAAACATAAAGTTAGAAAGATGGGATGCTTGTCTGAGGGTTACACAACTAATCTTTCTGGCCTGTTTGGGGAACTTTCTGCAGGCAGCGCGCGCCCCCTACTGATCGCTCCGACGCATTTGTACGCCGCATGTCGACAGCCCTCTGGTGGCACAGAGCTGTCATTGCGGAATCCATCTGCCTCTTCTG